GCTGTGCGTTCCTGAACAGTTTTAATCCTTCTGCTTGAGATCCTGAGTCAAAATTCGCAAATAATTGGTATGTGATGTTTCACAGTAGATATAAAAAGTTACAAATATTTACCCACCGTTCAACCGGTGGCTGGGCATTAAGTCATTTTTCTCTACCACCGATCAATCGGTGGCTGGGCATTACGTCAGTTTTCTCTGCCGCCGGTAAAGCGGTGTTCAGGGCTGAAATGGTTAATAATTGTTTAAATAAAGTTATCGAACATCATACACAGTATATTGTACATTTTCTTGGCTCTAAAATCAGGTTCGTTTTATACATAGAAATAAAGTTTTTAACTTAGATTTCTCTGCTTATTTAACTGCAGCTTATTCTCTTGAGCGATCTGTACACAAAGGATTATGGCATATATGAATTATATTTTTAAATCTTGATAAATTTGGAATTTTGTCTTTAGTGGGTAATATATCTTTTAATAATTCACCAATTGTTCTGATGCCAGAAATGGACCTTTAGAAAATTTATGTTTACAACGTCTCCCAAGATAATATTCTATAACCAGTTCTCTTTCATAGAACGAATAGAACTCGATGACTTTGAACAAATTATGTATTGTGCACGAATGTGTTTTTAATAGTAAAGCTCACCCAATTCCAGTTTCAAGAGCCAATTAAGATAAAGAATTACTGTTAAAAGGATTAAAAATGAATGTTGTGTGTAATCGGAGGGACAGAGTAGGTGGTTAGAAGTGGAGAATATGAGGATAAGGAGGATAAATAAAGATTTGACCTTGACCTTGGCGTGAGGAATTTAAGATTGTAGTCTTTCCTTAATAACACAAGTTCATGAATTTTGACCTCAATCAAAACTTTAAAAATATGTCATAAATACTACATTGAGGTAGAACCTCACAATGTGACTCAGGTTTGTGATCTGTCTCATATAAAATAATTTTTTCCCGCTTAAATGTTTAAATATGGCTGCCTATAGTGGTGTGCTGGTTAGCAAGTTTGTCTCGTTGTTTAGTTAGCTAGTTAGTTTAGACTCTGGAAAATATAGGTATTTTAACATTTGGAGCGCTTAAAATGAAGTTAACACGTAAGTGAACATTTTTTAAAGGTTGTTTTTGTTTTTTTGTGTTTTTTTGTTTTTTTTTGAAAATATGGTTTTTGGAAAGATACTGTGATATCAGATCGATTTGCTATAAAGAGAGAAACAAAGAGAGAGTCAATCAAATTGTTGCTTAAAATAGATTTGTTCCCAAAGGTGACCCTTTTATTAAGATCTTGCTAAACACTGAGTCCAGAATCATTGGCTGAAGTTCTTGGACGAAATCATTACCCTTATTTGACGAGTATCACCACTTTTGTTATTTTGATCACTCTCTATCTCTTGGTTGGACTTGTCATCCGGTAGCTCCCACTCCAGGTAAAAGTATTTAAAATTCGTTCCGCATCACAAAATGACAACGCCAGACGAATCATTTTCACTTGAATCAATGAAAAGGTGAGATTTATTTGAAAAAGAGAGAGAGAGAGAGAGAGAGAGAGAGAGAGAGAGAGCCGTTGTGTCAAACACCTGAAGAAGGACGGAGAGACTTCTGATCGAAACTTGAGTGAGGATACTGGTTTCAATAATTTATCGGAAGCTAGAAGCCTGAAGGAATGTGCCCTCTATGTTATCTTAGCAATCAGCTTGGTATTTGCCAAGCGAAGAAGATTGCAATATTTCTTCACATCATTCACGGATTTTTTTAAAAAGACAATATTGTATAAACAAATAAAAAGAAAATTATAAAAATGACAATAAAAAAAAATAATACAATATATTGTCATTCCCTAAGGGTAAAAGAAAAAAAAAAGAAGACCCTCCACATTTTGTAATTATTTTTATAAAAAAGCTATGTTCTGTAAAGCATTTGGGAAAAAAAGTGCTCATCAGAGAAATGAACAAAATCCAAAAAAAAAAGGAAAAATGAAAAAAACGAAAAACGAAAAAATCGATACCTTTAAAAACCCACAGACAAAAAAAAAAAAAACAACAAAATTAATTTTTTTTGTAATTATTAGTTTGTCATTTTAAACATTTTTTTAAAAAAAATAAAAAATAATTTTTGTTGCATTTCAATTTTTTTTTTTTAAATGAATTTTTCATCTTTATTATCTTGTTTTGAAATTTTCGAATTGAGAAATCAATTCATATGCAAATTATCTAAGTTCGGTTTTCTTTCTGTTATTTGATGTTTCTGAATTATTTTTTTTATTCAGGAAGACGTCAATCAAAGAAATAAATAGCAAAAAATGAAACAAAAAATAAAGAATTTTAAGACATACACACACAAAAAAAAATATCTCACGCTGTTTATATGACTGTTAGTTGAAAGTTTACACTGTTATAAGCTCTCCTATATGTGACCAGTCCATATCTAATAATAAAACGGTCATCGTTTCTTATTCTTTAATGAGTTCATTGTTTTAGAATATATATATATATATATATATATATATATATCGTTTATTCTTTGTATATAAGCCTAAAAGGATTAAATAAAAATTTTAAAAAATACACTGAAATATTGAGAAGAGATGTTGTTTTGCATGTTATTACTTTTTATTTTCTGCATCAATTCAGGAAAAAATGAAGAAAAGGCAACAAAAAATGGCTGCCATCAAGAGAAACAAAGCCAAGTCGAATTATGCAAATGTAAGGATTACACCATACCTTCAAATTAAGCACCAGCTTCATTTTCCCATACTTATTATACACCTACAATGTATTTGAAGAACCGATGATCGATAGAAACAAATGGTATACAAATTTCTTTCAGAACTTCTGGGATGAGGAGTTATCATCATTTAGACAATTTACATTCGGACCATTATCATCTTTCCTGCTGTTGCTATCAAATTACTTCAGCTGTTGCGTCCTCCAGGGGGGTGCATATCGATCCAGATAACCTAAACTGAATTCCGAACTGAAACTTTTATTTAATCTACAGGTAATGTTGTTCCACGGCCAGTGTCTCGCGATATCACGTCTAGTTCTTATTTTTAGTACAGTCAAGTTATATTATTGTTGGGGTGGAATATTATTGGAGTTAAAATATTTAAATAAATTGTAGTTTGATTTTGAATTTAAATTTAAACCCAGATTAACATTTAAGATTGAAAATAAGAAATATAAATTCTAGAATCTATATTTCGCATTTCCAAGCGAAAATTAAGAATGGCAGTTATTTACTCTATTTACAAGCGGACTATAATCCTCATCTTTATTGTTACTATAACAGCGGTTCGGTCTTTGTGGCATCCGGGCTTCATCAGGTGTATATTGATCCGTTTAAACTACCACGAATTTCGAACTGAGTCCTTTCCTTAAGGAATGCAGACTGTTCTCATTCCACTCTCCATGTCTCGGGATATCTCGTCTAATTCTTATCTTTAGTACTGGTCACTTATTGCCAGCCATTTTCTCCCCGAGTCCAAATACATACTGCCCAGCTCTGGGATTGATCTCCCAATTACTATATCACCAAATTCATGAGTCTACCATGCTAGTATCCAGGAATTTCGAACTGAGTCCTTTCCTTAAGCTGTGGGAGTAGACTGTTCTCATTTCATTGTCCATGTCTCGGGATATCTCGTCTAATTCTTATTTTTAGTACTGCAAACTTATTGCCCGCCCTTTTCTCCCTGAGTCCAAATACATACTGCCCAGCTGGGGATTGATCTCACAATTACTATATTACCAAATCCATGAGCCTGTCGTACTAACATTCCATGGGACAATTCTCTCTTCAAAAATTAAGAATGCTAGACAATGTTATTTACAAGCGGACTATTATCCTCATCTTTATTGTTACTATAACAGCGGTTCGGTCGTTGTGGTATATGGGCTTAAGCAGGTGCATGTTGGTACGGTTAAACTACCAGGAATTTGGAACTCAGTCTTTTCCTTAAGCTATGGATGTAGACTGTTCTCATTCCACTGACCATGTCTCGAGATATCTCGTCTAGTTCTTATTCTTAGGACAGCCGTGTTATTGCTAGCGCTGTTTTCACTGAGGCCAAGTACACAATGCCTAGCAAGTGAACTCACAATTACTACGGCACCAAATTCACTAAGAAAGTCTTTAAAGCACTCGGCTATTGTCCGATAGAACAGGCTACACCCGTAGATTAAATAAAGGATAAAAACTGTTGATCACATTTATATAGGATTAGAGGAATGTCGGACTACAGGAATTGCCATTGTAAGATGGACAGAGGAAAAAAACAAAAAAAAACAAATGGTAGATGGGAATAAAAGATTTGGATCAAGTAATGTTTTGATTGAAAGAACGAAGTACAGGTTTTAAATGCTAAAACACACACATTTGAAATAAAAATGAATCAATTTTGAAAAAAAAAATCTTGGTCTGAAAAAATCTCTTGAAAGAAACACAGATGTTGCGTGTTTTATAGTTTGTTTTACTTTCACAGTGAGATTCACTTCGAGGACGGTCCGTGGAGCAATCGATGTAAAGGGTTAAGGAGTAAGAGGCACAAATTATGCGGGTAGGTGTGTAAGATAACGGTTAATCCTAAACCTAAAGAGAATAATATTCTTGCGATCAGAGAAGCAACCTCTTGAGAATCTGTTCCATAGAGCAGTGGTTCGTCGGCGGAAGCTGCTCGAGTGGAACTTAACGTAATTCCCCATGTATAATACGCCTTCATCCATAATACGCACCCCGAAAATTATGCTGAAATTGTCGGAAAATGCTTCTATTCACGCATAATACGCCCCCCTTGTTTGGTAATCAAACCCTATAAATTGTATCTCTACAATTTCAGTACGGTCAGCGTTTTCTACTCTTATTCAAGCTGTAATTGAAAATATTTATCAAAATTTTCGATCATCGCGATTCTAAAAGGAAGCGGAAATACGTATATTGTGCCTACTGCGCAGACTCATTAACCTGTTTTTGTTCGATAAAATGTGCAATATACCGGATCTGTATGTAGTTTTTCATCAAAAATGGTTTTAAACATAGAACAATATTATTTTAATTTAGTTTTATGATAATTCTTATTTTATTTTACTTTTATAAGTATTGTTAGGTACATATGACTGTATATTTGACATACTTATGGGGTCGCAATCGCCGAATGTTAGTGTCAAATTGTCGTTGTTTGTGCTGAGTAGTCCTTTCGCAACTGAAATGTACCTATAAAACGTCAATTTTTTAAGGATTTTTTGTATCTGTGCATAATACGCTCGCTAATTGTGCTTGTTATTTTTTAGAAATAAATGCGTGTTATACATTGGGAATTACGGTACTTCTCAATGCGGAAGGAAGGTGGTGGCTTCCTACAATGTGAGTGTCATGGAAGGTCCTAGGCGTGAAGGTTAGACCTAGCGGAACCAAGGAATGCAGTTCATCTGAGCACTTTCCATAGAAGTAGCGACAGAGCAGTGAGAGGTTTGCTACATCCCGTCTGAGAGAGAGAGAGAGAGAGAGAGAGAGGGGGGGAGAGGAGAGAGAGAGAGAGGGAGAGAGAGAGAGAGAGTTTGAGGGTGGAAAATATTTTGTCACGCGAAGACATTTTTAGAATTTCTCAAAACTGCGACGTGAGGAGTGGGCAGTTCCTGTCCAAATAGGACAGTAGTACTCGGCCTGATCTGTAAATATAGAGTTTACCATGATTTTTTGTTTTGTTTGTTTAACGGCATATCAACACCTTGTGGGTCATTTAATGTCGAAATTTATTTTTCTTTGGAGCATGAATAATTTCTTTTACAAAAAAAAAATGTATTGCTGGTAACATTATTTTTCCTTTCAAAAAAACGTATGACTAGTAATTCTTTTTATTATAAAAAAATGTATTGCTGGCACCTTCACTATAAAAATGTATTTCCACACTTTCATAGAATTTTGACCTCAATTTGGGGGTTACCTATTTGGTTATAACTGAAACCTTGGAACAGAAACAATTACGAGATCCTGAAAACGTCCAGATCAAAAGCCTTGCTGCCGGATGTAGTTTATCGTCATAACCGGTACGAAAGATAGCAGGAGGAGTCCGGTACTTACTAGAGCGGTACAGAGAACCAGCTATTTTTACTGCATTTTTAGCTATGGATCTTATGTACAAATTCCACTTGTGGGGCTAGTGTAAAACCCACTAGTCTCTCAAAGCACAGGGCCTCCCTGACAGGATAGAGTGTGAAATATTTTTAATAAAAATTACACAGTTAAAAGAATGAAGGATTACAGGACCTGTGTCTGTAGAAATAGACTCATAGAAAAAGAAATGATAATAAAATGAGTCGTTCAAATACTGACCGAATGAAATGAATGCCTGATCAAAGGATTGTAACTTTGCAATGGATTGATAAGGAAACAAACATTAGATACTAATTAACATTCTGATCAAACGTTGCTCGGATTAAACGAATGTCTGAATACAGGAATTGGACCTGAAGATAGAGACGCAAAGAAAAGTTAAATGAAAATAAATCGTTTTCATCAAACGTTGTCTGGATTAATATAAGGCCGGACTATAGGTTATGCGGCAGAGCAATCGATCAGTAGAAAGAAAAGCAAGCGATAAATAAAGACAAACTTCTCATCTACAGACTCCCCATCAACGGACTTCTGATGCAACAAAGTCAGGAGGCAAAATTAAAAAAAAAAAAGTCTGCAAGCAAAACATTTCAAAATCGTCAGTGATGTATTGCAAAATTTGCGGGCTTAGCAGAACAAACGTGGCGGCCGTGGCTGGCCTTTCAATTGTAAACAAAGACGGGTGTACAGTATATAAAGTACGGTACAATATCACATCTGTGAGAAAGTACCTGCGATAACTCTATTATTTTTGATGTTACGATAATTATTATTTTGTTCTTCAGTAAGAGTGGACAATTATGATTAATTAATTGATAATACTTATAGTGTCGTGAAATTTATAAGAGTAGATAATTATAATTGATTAATTGATAATACTTATAGTGTCGTGAAATTTATAAGAGTGGATAATTATAATTGATTAATTGACAATACTTATAGTGTCGTGAAATTTATAAGAGTGGATAATTATAAATGATTAATTGATAATACTTATAGTGTCGTGAAATTTATAAGAGTGATAATTATAATTAATTGATAATACTTATAGTGTCGTGAAATTTATAAGAGTGGATAATTATAATTGATTAATTGACAATACTTATAGTGTCGTGAAATTTATAAGAGTGGATAATTATAAATGATTAATTGATAATACTTATAGTGTCGTGAAATTTATAAGAGTGGATAATTATAATTAATTGATAATACTTATAGTGTCGTGAAATTTATAAGAGTGGATAATTATAATTGATTAATTGACAATACTTATAGTGTCGTGAAATTTATAAGAGTGGATAATTATAATTGATTAATTGATAATACTTATAGTGTCGTGAAATTTATAAGAGTGGATAATTATAATTAATTAATTGATAATACTTATAGTGTCGTGAAATTTATAAGAGTGGATAATTATAATTGATTAATTGACAATACTTATAGTGTCGTGAAATTTATAAGAGTGGATAATTATAATTAATTAATTGATAATACTTATAGTGTCGTGAAATTTACAATTATGAAATTGTTTTTAAATTAGTAGGAGTACATATAAAACTCTTATATACGGACCCTCCATCAACGGACTTCGGACGCAACGGACAAAATCTACAGGCAAAAAAAAAGAAAAAGAAAAAAAGCTATGCAAGCAAAAACAACTTCCAAATCATCATAGATGTATTTCAAAAGTTGCATGTTTAGCAGAACGAGTCGTATTAGTTATCAAAATGTCAGCTTGGCGACGGTGACTGGCCTTTCAATTGTAAACAAAGACAGGTGTACAGTATATAAAGTACGATACATAAGCGCGTCTGTGAGAAAGTACCTGTGTGAAATCTATTACTTCTGTTATTTTGATTAAAATATTTATATCAAGAATATATTTATTTATGCCATATATATACATGTTTATAGTATTTACATTATGATCATAACGACTGGTAGTTACTATAGTGGTTTTATAACTTAAAAATAATCCTACGGAGAATCGGCTTGAACGGACCACTCATTTCCTTCTGTTAGTCCGTTGATGAGAGATTTTTCGGTACATAACAACGTTTTGGTCAAATATTGACAGAAACACAGACAAATATTAAATCGGAATAAAACTATAAAAAAGAAAGATGGGAACTGAAAATGTAAATGGGTATAACAGCGTCTGATTAAATTTTGTTTGAACTAAATGTATGCTAACTGCTGAATATCGAATAACAACACTAATTTCATTATCCGGACTATTGTCCTCATCTTTGTCGCCATATTTATTACAACGTTTCAGCCATTGTACGCTCCGGCCTTCTTCAGGTGGTTGGAATGTCGAACTGAACCCTTTATTTCGTTCACTGGTGTAGACTGTTCTAGTTCCCCGTGCCTCAAGGACACATGGCACAGTGGATACAGACGTTAGTTAGATCCAGTGACAGGACTCAAAGAGTGTAAGTTCAAACCCGGTTAAGACAGTGGAGAACATGGAGAGGGGAATTAACAGGAGATAACTGATAGCTGACATCCATTAAACATGGCACGTGGAACTAAACAGTCTACTCCAGTGAGCGAAATAAAGGGTTCAGTTTGACATTAGAACCACCTGAAGAAGGCTGGAGCGTATAATGGCTGAAACGTTGTAATATATATGTCGACAAAGATGCGGACTATAGTCCGAATAATGTACATAGTGTACATAATTCCTCATCTCAGAAATATAGACAAAGCTAAGAAATGTAAATCTCTTGAAGAGATACCAAAGAAATGGTGTCTGAATATCGATTGTCATTAGGAGACAGCTTGCAAGGAAATTAATTCATCACGCACAAAGCTGAGAAGACGCTATATTATTCTGTCAAGAATGGTAAGGAATGATTGTGCAGCGCCAGCGAAGATATGACAGTAACGTTAAAGATGAATCAGGCACTCCTTGACAGAAGGAAACGAACATTTGTTTTTAATTTTCCCATAAAGTCATTGTAATTGATATATGATAAACAAAAAGGAATATGTGGATAATGTATTTAAAACCATAAAGAACGAAACAAAACCTACTCATCTATCTTTCCTAAGAAGTCATGGCAATTCATAAATAATACATTAAAATGAATCTATGAGGAAAGTCATTATTGCCTACTCTTAATTCAAAATCCTGGACAAGGTGACAGGCAGTGCCTGATTTAAAAGAGGGCTAGTATGGACTGCAGCCCAGGGCCCCAGGACTAGAGGTGTCCCCAATGCATCCCTAGTCGTGCAACCAGTGATTTTTATCGAATTTGAATGCTAGAATTGCAATGTAATACAGGCCATAGAGAATGGAAACTGCGACACTGAGATCCGAAGACATACTGGGATGGCCAAAGATGCCTCCCAAAAGCTAAACAGTATTAGACACGAAGAAAAAAGCGTAATGGACTGTTACGTGATATAATCTCCACAAAGATGTATTTGTCAGTATTGCAATGTAATATAGACCATTTATTTTAGATAAATCTCTGTAGGATGACGTTGAGTTCTCGGTTATAAAATGTTTCCGGGTTTTTAAAGACAGAATGCATTGTTATCAGCAAAAGGATAAGCCCAAAATTCAAATTACAATGTGTGGATACTAAAATCAAGAAGTTACAGAAATATAAATATCTGTGAAGTTTTCTAACAGATGATGGAATGTGTGACACTGAGATTCAAAGACGTATTGGAATGGCCAAAGATGCCTTCCAAAAGCTAAGCAGAGTATTAAGACAGAGAAAAGCGTATTGGACTGTTACGCGATATCTACTCTCCTGTATGGCAGTGAATGCTGTCTAATCTCAAAGATGTAGAAGAGACTGGAATCAACAGAAGTGTGGTTCTACTGAAAGATTCTGAGCGTACCAAGGTCGCGTCGTTTTTTTTCTTAATTTTATGCCATTGGAAAATAGTAAGCAATCGGCGCAATGATTTGATCATAGCGAAGGCTCAAGCATTTAAAAAAAATAAAAACTGAAATTGCACCAATATAAGATTATGGTGTCTGCCTGGTGGTCCATCTATTATCGTTAACCTGTACAGCTATCTGGAATTTAACCAGAGCATCGCTTATGACGTTTACTGCGAACAGATGGATGAACTGCACATTCAGTTAAGCAAAATGCAATCGGTACTGGTTAATCGACGACGTCGGGTTCTGCTTCATGTCAATGCTCGGCCTCAATACTGTCAAAATGACACTGCAGAATCTCACCGACTTGGAATACGAGGCTTTGGCGCATCCATCGTATTCACCTGATCTCTCGGCCATTGACTGACACTTGTTCAAGCATCTTGACAAATTTTAAGCCATAAGACATAAGGTGGCAAAGAAGATGCATCACTTCATATCTATCTATCTTAGCTTGTTTCTATATATCTGCCATAGTCTGTTCATATCTATCTATCTATCTATCTATCTATCTATCTATCTATCTATCTTAGCTTGTTTCTATATATCTGCCATAGTCTGTTCATATCTATCTATCTATCTATCTATCTATCTATCTATCTTAGCTTGTTTCTATATATCTGCCATAGTTCATATCTATCTATCTATCTATCTATCTATCTATCTATCTATCTTGCTAGCTAGCTATTACTGTCTCTTCATATATCTCTCTCTATATATATATCTTTTCTGCAGGTTGTCTTTCTATCTATCTATCTATCTATCTATCTATCTTGCTAGCTAGCTAGCTAGCTATCACTGTCTCTTCATATCTTTCTATATATCTATCTTTTGTTCAGGTTTTTTGTTTTGTGTTTCTATCTATCTATCTATCTATCTATCTATCTATCTATCTATCTATCTATCTTAGCTTGTTTCTATATATCTGCCATAGTCTGTTCATATCTATCTATGTATCTATCTATCTATCTATCTATCTATCTATCTATCTATCCCTCACAGTCTGTTTATTATCTATCTATCTATCTATCTATCTATCTATCTATCTATCTATCTATCTATCCCTCACAGTCTGTTTATTATCTATCTATCTATCTATCTATCTATCTATCTATCTATCTATCTGTTTGTCCCCATGTGAATTTATGAGGGTTCTTTCATAAGGCCGCTCATGCAAAGTCTGCTTACTTAATCTTAAAAATCCGTTTTCTCCAGTATTCACATATTTAAATGTGATATAATGTTTCATAAAATATCCTTCTACGGAAAGGAGAAACAGTGAATTAGAAAGAAAAACGTATGTCTTTTTACCAAAAAAATCTATGCTTAATATCAATGTATAGGCTGAGCCATCTAAGCACTGACATACGACGTTTGACCGTTCCTGGGATGACTGCTTGCCACTGGGGTTAGACAAATGTTTGTACATCAGCATGTTTGGAAATATTCCCATTTCTGGTTTCTTGAGCTGAAGGCCAAATATGTGATTTCTTTCCGAGCAGTAGAAGGAATTGCACGTCTTCACGTTATAGTGTTTGCGGAAAGGGAGTGACGGTAATCTGGAATAACGGATTAATATCATGTTTTGTGTGAAGACTGTGCAAAATGTGAGTAAAATATTAAAATAGCTTATGGTGAAAACACCGTGAAGTGTCCGCTTTTGTTGCAGCTCAAGCACTTTTACAGAAAAACGAAAAGATGTGAACGATGGCCAAAGAAGTCTATTCATGTCAAGTTATCGATCTATCTCTCAATCTGCTCATATATATCTATCTATCGATCTATCTCACAATATGTTCATATCTATCTATCTATCTATCTGTTCATATCTATCTATGTATTTGTTCATATTTATCTATCTCTGTTCATATCTATCTGTTCGTATCTATCTATCTATCTGTCTATCTATTTCTCAATTTCTCCATATCTATCTGTTGTGGTAGGATCCACCTAATTTGCATAGTGGCGTACCGACCATATAAATATGGTTGGTACCGGGAAGAGAGGGAGGAATCAAGAGATTTAATCAGAGACTCTGCCCGACTGCGACTCAGTCAACACATTCTCCAGGAACGGTCTTACCAGGAATATACAAAAGACTATATGTAAATATTGCGTACACTTTCTTGTTTCAATACATTTTGTTCTAAGTACATTTTCTGTTGCATTATTATTCCATGCATTAGTCAAGTTTCAACACTATCTATCTATCTATCTATCTATCTATCTATCTATCTATCACTAGTGCGAATCATATTCCTCAAGATCGCTTTTCTCATGCGCAGAAAAGAAGTGTGAATTTGTTCTGTCACTCGTTTTTGTAGGTTTCTTTCTGCTATCAAAACTGTGTTATCTGCATCCGTCTATATTTCTGAGATGAGGTATTATGTACATTATTTACATTATTCGGACTATTGTCCTCATCTTTGTCGCCAAATTTATTACAACGTTTTGGCCGTTGTACACTCCGGCCTTCTTCAGGTGGTTGGAATATTGAACTGAAAGTACGCACGGCACAGTGGATAAAGTTGTTAGTTAGATCCAGCAGGAGATAACTGATAACTGACATCCATCAAACATGGCATGTGGAACTAGAACAGTCTACCCCAGTGATCGAAATAAAGGCTTCAGTTCGAAATTCCGACCACCTGAAGAAGGCCGGAGCGTACAATGGCCGAAACGTTGTGACAAATATGGCGACAAAGATGAGGACAATAGTCCGACTAATGTAAATACTAAACAAGAGTTCGTTGAAAAAATTTTGGAATCAAAACCTGAGTAATTATACCCCCAAGTCATTGATGCGATGGTTTTGAGTATAATTCTGATGAGTGGTCAAAAGTCAATAAAATAAATGAAATACAATTTGACTGTACTTTATTTTTGGAAGAATAAATTTGATAAACAAAAATGGGAATTATTCATGACTCAGCCAACCAGTTCTCTCGTCTGAATGACTTTCCCAGTTATAACTCGAGCGCATACGTACAGAGACAATTCTATGGATAACAATAAAAGCAAAAGAATATGAATATAAAGGATGTGTGTTCTTTTCTTTTCTTTTTTTGATAATAATATTTACCCTAGAACTCTAACCATCAATTAAAGTTACACCACTACTAACCATGGGTATATAATACCAGATCTTGAAAATATATATATATATATATATAAAAAAATATATAAATGTTTATTTGAAATATTTTACATGCAGGCACTTCAGTCTTTGTACTTTGAGTTAACGTTAATAGGAACTGAAAAGCATATTATTTAGGTAAGAAAATCAAGTACTGAAAATTGAAATTAAAAATAGGAAATTTTGCGCTGGGTACTATATACCCATGGTTAGTGTTCTAGGGTAAAAACAAAGCGATAGAGAAGAGAAGGACTGAGAGAAAGAGAAAAAGAAGACGAAAAAGAAAAAAAAGTAGAAAATATAAAGAAAATAACATTTTAATAAAATCTAATTAAAAGAAGGTTATTTCTGAAAGAAACAAAGAAAGAAATAATAATAAAAAAAATAAAAAAGAAAGAAAGAATAGTAAAAAGACAAAATGGAAAAAAGCAAGAAAGAATGAAAGAAAAATTAAAAAAAAGTGTAATTGAGGCAAAAAAGAATTATTGGTAGAAAGAAAAAAGAAACAAATAATAAAAAAAAAACAAAAAGGACATATTGAAAATAGGTGTAACTTAGAAAGAAAGAATTATTAAGATGAAAGAAAGAAAGAAAGAAAGAAAGAAAGAAAGAAAGAAAGAAAGAGAGATTGAATGAATAACTAACTGAAATAAAAGGAAATGAAAAAGAAAGAGTTGCTGCGTAATAAATGTGTACAAATATTTATTTGGAAGAAAAGAACGAAAAATACTGGGAGAAAGAAAGAAAGAAAGAAAGAAAGAAAGAAAGAAAGAAAGAAAGAAAGAAGGTAAACGAATACAAGAAAGAAAGAAAGAAAGAAAAAAAAGAAAGAAAGAAAGAAACAAGAGGAAACGAATACACGAAAGAAAAAAGAAAGAAAGAAAAAAAGAAAGAAAGAAAGAAAGAAGAGTAAATGATTACATGAAACAAAGAAGGAAAGAAGAGTAAGCAAATGAATCGAAGAAAGAAAGAAAGAAAGAAAGAAGAAAGAGCAAATGTGAGAGACAAAGAAAGAAAGAATGAATGACAAGATAGAGAAAGGGATAGTGAAAGGCAAAATGAGCTAACAATATATGAAAGGAACAGAATATAATGAAAAGAAAGAAAGAATAGAAAATACGAAGAGAAATAAAAAGGGACAAAAACCAGAATAAAAAAGAAGAGTTAGAGAGAAAGAAAGAAAGAAAGAAAGAAAGAAAGAAAGAAGATTAAAGTATAAAAAGAAAGAATGGCTGGAAGTAAAATGAAAGAAAGAAAGAAAGAAAGAAAGAAAGAAAGAAAGAATACAATACCTCATATATAATGAATTATTCCGATTTGATTACGTAGAAAAGCAAGTCATACGGTATGAATAAATGAATGGAAGAAGGGAAAAGAAAGAAAAGAAAAAAGAAAGAAAGAAAGAAAGAAAGAAAGAAAGAAAGAAAGAAAAGAAAGAAAAAAGAAAGTAAGTGTTTAACGTCTCTGGTCAATACTTCATAAATAATGAACTATTCCAATTTGATTACGTAGAAAAAACAGGGCATACTGTATGAAAGAATAAAAAGAAAAAAAAAGGTAGAAAGAATGCGAGTAAGATAGCAAGAAAAACAGAAAGAAAGAAAGAAAGAAAGAAACAAGAGGAAACGAATACACGAAAGAAAAAAAGAAAAAAGAAAGAAAGAAAGAAAGAAAGAAAGAAGAGTAAATGATTACATGAAACAAAGAAGGAAAGAACGAAAGAAGAGAAAGCAAATGAATCGAAGAAAGAAAGAAAGAAAGAAAGAAAAGAAAAGTTATTAATAAATAAATGCAATGAAGAAAAACGTAAGAAAGAACACGTAATGAAATAGAAGGAAAGAAGGAATTATCTAGAAAGAAAAAGCATAATGTTTAGAAAGAATGAAACAAGTAAACAAAGAAAGACTTACTTGGAAATAAATATATTACGAAAGAAAAAAAATAAACTCTTATTTAGAAAGAAAGAAAAAAAGAAAGAAAGAAAGAAAAAGAGAAAAAAAGAAAAAGAAAGAATCACATACAAATAAGATGAAGAAAAAGAAAAGAAATAAACAATTAATAAGAAAAATATTATTATTTATATTTGTGAAATACATAAAAGGGTGTGCTGAAAAGTTCAGAGCCTGACTAAAAAAGGACATATTTTTAAGCATTTCACCCCAAGTAAGGCGGGAATGTCACTAGCACGTTAGGGGTTACAGAGAGTGAGAGGTCCTCTCAAGAATTTGGTGTACTCGATAACATTTCCGATAATATAGACAAGGCTATCTCTGTACATCCGCTTGCACATATATTCCTGTCCGGTGACTTTAACGCCCACCAAACCATTTTGTTTTGATGCATGTCGGGAGTGCCACTAGCCCACAAGGGGTTACGGAGAGTGAGAGTAAGAATAAAGAGGAGTGTTTCGGGAAAAGGATAAAGAGAAGGACAGGGATCAAGGTCAAGGCATCAGAAGAAGCCGATTGACATTACATTTGAATATTTGAAGATTATAGCTATCAGGGAAGCAATTGACAGGAAGGAAGTTACACTGATCGGAAGGGCGAGATAAGAAGCTGTTGGAGTAGAAGAGATGGCTACATTTAGTCGTTTCGACAGTGAAAGGGTGGGACCGAGATGCTAACCTAGTAGCACGGTTAAATTCATGCAGTTTGGCAACCAGTGAAAGTAGCTCGTCGGAGCAGTTGCTGTGAAAGTACTTGTAGTAAAGACAGAGGGAAGCCACAGTACGTCTGTGAGATAGCGACTGCAGACGGGATACCAGATCAGGAGCACTCACGTTGCACGTCCATCTCTGGATTTGGTCGATGACCTCGAGATGAACAGCAGGAGCACCAGACCAAGGACAAATGATTGATTTGTAGATTTGAAGGATGGACTCAGGTGAGGAAAACCTTCTGGCGCGACACAGGGAACCAACTTTCCTTGCGGTAGATGAAGCTATTGATTCAGTGTAGTTGTTCCACTTCAGGTCAGCGGACAGCGTGAGACCAAGCAGGCGCAGAAAGGCGTTCTCGTGGGGTTGGGCATCAGCCATTTTGATGGAAGGCAACGAGGGTTCTCTATGGTGGGTAAAACCATGGGTCGGCAACTCATTCGACCCCGCGGGCCGGATCGTGTTATAAATGACGGGTCGCAGGCCGGACGAAGGCCATTAATGAAAAAGTAAGGAAAATTACATATGCAGACCCCTGTCAACCTAAATATTTAAAACCATAATGAAAATAAACATTGAGAAATTAGAAAAACAAAAGAAAATCTAAAATTAAAAAAACACCTAACAAAAATTACTTTTCCTCAAGGAACGTCAAAATAATTCAAAGTGAAAAAAATCAACCGAAGTGAAATGGATGAAATTATGACGTGTAGGTTTGAAACTATTATTGAAAATTGTTCCACAAACAAACCACACACACACACACACATCAAACAAAAACGAAGCACATATACCCATACATACGAGTACAAATAGTTGCAAATATATACACTTACGTACGTACACATGCGGTATCATTCATTAGGCATGTATGTATAATGCGCGTATGTTTAACTGTCTTTAGATTCCTGCTACTTCGCATGTCAGTCCCTCCCTGGCCTCTTTCACTTTATCGTTCCTTTCGCTTCTGTTATCTTTTAATGTAGCCAAGGGTCATAACAAATATGTATGCATTATTTGACATTAAACGTAGGCAACGCAACTTGGTAAAATAAGTCTCATGAAATATAACTGGCAGATAGACTAATTCGAAAGCCTCGTCTCTCATGTTAAAAATAGAGTCATTGGTAATCAGGATCGCGGGCCGGTCAAAATGCCTTCGCGGGCCGGATCCGTAGGTTGCCGACCCTTGCATTAAAGTTTACAAGCCATTTCCTGCCTCAGGCAAACCTAGGTTGGAGGTCCTTCTCGAGGTCTATGGCCAGGTTAGTTTTGTCAACGATGCCTGATCTACTATTAAGGCAGGAGTAAATAGTTGTGCTCTCAGCGTAGATGTCAACTTGGGAGTTGATGACATCAGGAAGATCGTTGATGAAGATCAGAAACAGTGTAGGACCCAGAATAGAGCCTTGGGGAACACCAGCGTTCGTGTGAAAGGATCTGGAGAAGAATCCCTTTTAGGACGACATTCATTTCACGGTTTGACAGGAATAATTTTATTAAGTCAAATAATCGTCCTTTAATGCTGTATTCTTACAAAGAAGGCCAGCGTGGCAGAGCCTATCAAACGCTTTGCAGATATCTAAAACTACGGATCGAGCTTCTCCTTTATTGTCAAGTGCTTGGTATATAAATTCATTTATGGTCTTCAGCACGACAGCGGTGGGCAGGCAATGCAGAAGCCATATTGCTTGTCTGAGAGCAGATCACCAGAGTTCTTAAAGAGATGGACAATAGATGAGGACTTCCAACAGGCATGAAAGCAAAAGTCAGTGAGGCAATAGTTATATAACTTGGAGAAGACTGGTGCCAGTTCAGGACCACATTTCTTCAGGACAACGGCTGGTAACGCGTCCCTGCCACTAGCATTATGGGAGTCTAATTTAGAGACGATGCCCAAAACCATCGATGGGGTTATGTTTATATCACTCAACAGAACCTCAGTTCTAGGCGCAAAATTAGGTGCGGGCACTTCGGATGAGTCGAGCGTTGAATTCGATGAAAATTCCCCAGCAAAACATTCAGCGTTATCAGCTGAGGAAGTCAGTACCTCAAATTGATTGAATAGAGTAGGTATTGAGCATTTGCTCTTGTTCAGAGATGATACATTTTGTACCTCAAATTTTAGTCTCATTCACAATTAATTTCTAATTTGCGTAATTTTTAATTAAAATATAGGTACTGTAGTGACAAAAGTACGCAGATGTAGGCGTTAAGAAAGCTTTATTCAGATGAGAATAGAAGATTCGCATATAGTGTCTATTTATAGTACCAGTAAACAGAAATAGCTCTCTCAAAGAGGAGAGTAACAAAACAAGGGGAGACCACTCTTGATTATTCATAACAGGTACATATAAGAAGATACAATAAAAATGCTATGAATTAATGTTTATTAACCTGTTTTTTTATGAAAAAAATTATTTAAAGTCGTTTGCCGCATAATATTCTTCTGTTATTCATATAATTGGCAGGACTGAGAAATTACCCTTTCAAATTTTTCAAATATATCATCATTAGTTTTTTTAACCAGAAAATGCTATTTATAATCTTTCCATACTAAATGAATATTCTTTTATTGTTCGATATTTTTTAATAAATGCAAATTTCTGTATCTAATTAAATCTCCATGTTTTTTTTAGCAAAATATCAGAAATTACCTTTTAAGACCTTCAAAATAAACAGGAAAAACAATCAAAATATACAAACAGTTTTAATAGAGACAAATAAACAAATAAGTATTTTTATTATCGGCTTATATAAAATTTATCTATTTATAAGCGTCCATTTTTTTTAAAACTCTGCTTTCTTGGATAACGTAGTACTTGACAAATAACATAGATTACCATTTTCCATTTTTAAATTTAAAAACATTTTAATTAATCGATAACTATAGAAAAAATCAATTTTCAATGGCTATGGTTAAACTGAAGAAAGTTTTACTGAATTAATCGAGTATTAAGAAAGCACTTGGTGTATAAAAATTTTAGCGCACTAATCGAAAACGCTTTAATTGAGTGCGCATTTATCGAGGGATTTCTATATACCGGAAAGATGGCCAACTTCTGATACGGCTTCAGAAAATGCCTGATTCCATCTGCCATTCTCTATCTTTACAATTAAACCAGAGATAGAGATGTTTTCTATCTCTGTGCTGAAGCTGCCCAGTGCTTTTTTTTTCAGCTTTGTCAGCACTTAAAAGCATATGCGCGACCTTGAAGCTATCGCTATTTCCATGTCAAATGTTCAGACGTGCGTCATTCGTTAGTTCCACAAGTTTAGACCTATACAGTTAAGATCCGCCATGTTTGGTGAGTCGTGTTTCTGAGTTGTCAAATATTTCACCAATTATCGGACGACACGGCAGGAAAGTCGAGATAAATTCGTACTTTGAGCGAAATTATTAGGAGTTTGGTCATGGACAAAAATGTCTATACACAAATTATCAGAATGCAGATACTGCAGGGACTTCTCCGTCGCATACAATCTAACGCAGAACATAGAATAATCCAACCGTGTTCCTGACGCGACTGGCATCAAGCGAACCTCATTCTCAAACCTTGCCCTGAAACATGTATCGCTAAAGTTTTATCCCTCCCCCCCCCCCACGGGAATTTCAGATCATTCACTAGTCAGTGTCAAATGAGATTTCAAACCAAAGGCATCCCATGATAGACCATTCCATTGAATAAATTTTCGGTATACAAATACAGACAGGGACATCTTTAGATCTTATATGACGTAATCTCCTGTCTCAACCTTCTTTAATCTGACATATGCTGAAACTTGGAGAATGCAGAGAACCTTAGCAAGTTAGGCGTTTAAGTTTCATACGTCCTTAGCGAAAATAACAATGTGAATCGCTTATCCATAGTGACAATTCTACTTTCACAACAGAAAAATAAAACCGTTCATTAATTATATCATAACAGGTGATGAAAAGTGGGTTGCATACAACAATGTTCAACAGCAGTGGACTGATGAGAATAGATCTCCACATCCGGTGCCAGAACTGAGTTCTGTTGAAGAAGAAAGTTAAAGTGGTATATATTATAGTATCGTCGGATATGATTCAATCAGATTTCTTAAAACGCAATGAAACACGAAACGTATAATATGATCATTATCAAAGTTACAAGCTAATAAATAAAACTTCAACAAATTCAGAACCTAATAAATTTAAACGTTAATCAA